GAGACCGAGCCACAAATGTGGAAGAATATTACTGTTTTAATTAACGAACGTGGAACTAAGAAGGAGGATGGGTACTTCAATTAGAGGATTCGTCCGTTAGTCGGGCTAGGAACGGAATTAAACGCTAACGTAAACGCGAACCTATGGCCAGCTGGATAATTTTCTCAACTTGTTGATGACAGGGAGATTCTAGTCTGTCTTGAGATTATCCTGGCTAATATCGTAACTTAAACACGGAATAATGGTCTTATTGATATCCTTTCTCGATTTTTGACACCACTTGAGCATCTCTCCTTTAATAATAAAATTGCCAGAAGCGTTAAAATGAATCGTTTCAGTACTAATATTATTCATCGACTATATTTAGATCGACAGTTCCAACTGCGAACAGATAGCTAGCCTCTTCGTTTGAATGTTGGATGAACAAATGAAGAAGCGAGTCTTATATTTTAAATACCTTCTATTCGATTTACACGTATCACAGAATCAATACAACGAGGATGATGGAATTTAAATACCAGAAGTATCAAAGCAATCGAAATACCGCCTCGAACCTTCTAATTATGCAATTGCTCGTGTCAAAATTAAGATTTAAATACAAATTACTCTCTGGTACTATTTCAACATAGAGAAAGAAAACTCGAGGAGAACCAGAATTCTCTTGAAACTTGGATCGTTAATAAAACCATTTAGCGTCCCAAGATAATCGCGAAAGTTTCAAGCACCGGTATCTTTCATCGGATAAGTATCTTTACGCTGTAAGCAAGTTGGAATAAAAATTGCGATCTTGACAGCAGGTTGCAGCTAATCGGCGACCGAGCTTATCACCGTTCTAATAACCGTCATCGGTGGGTTGTAACGTCTGCGAGTGGCCTTTTTGCCCGAAGTAAGATGCACGAAGCGAGATTTAGCCGAAGCAAAACGGCCTGGAGAAATATTAATTTCGCGGCAGGCCGTGGACTCAATAAACTCGGGAGACCGTGACGATACTCTCGGATCTGAAGCCCGCAAGGCGAAAGGACTCCCTAGAACGATCATCGCCGGAAATTGTTTAACGAGAAATCGAGGAACGCGATGAGATTAAAGACAGCGGACTCAATTTCCCGCGAGCTAGGTTAAACATCCATCCTGGATTTGTTTACCTTTGATCTCTATTCCTAGACGCCTGAAAAGGGTGATTTTTACCCCGCGAGTTTCCACCATTCCGAGGAGAAACGACGGAATACGAGAATATTATTGCTTTATCGAAGATTAATTTAATTTTTACTCCATTTCGAATGGAAAGAAAGAGAATTTTTTACAAGACAGCCATGGCAGAAATGCGAAGAGAAACGAGACTAAAACGGTAAATATAATACGATTTTCATAGGAAAATAATTTCCCTAGCTTTGGACCTAAACTGTCTGCAAGAGGAATGGGTAGTACAAAGACGCGATGTTCAAAAGAATTTAAATAACCATCGTACAGAAAATTCTTTCCCGGTCGTTTTACATTTTAATTATGAAAGGAAGAAACGCTTTAAACAAAGACCCGTAATTTGTTTGTTCAGAACTTGCCGACCGGATTCCTCGCAGAACTCCGAACGAATTCCGACGAGTTCCGAGTATTAATTCTTTAATGCAATATCTCAACTTCGAAATAACCGAGGCCATCACGATGCGGGGGTTTAATTATGCAGAATCGTTAGCTCCCGACTGTTTCGCCTCGACATTAGCGTTTTTCATAACAAGAACGTTCTTAATGAAAAGAGGAGAGCAACATCTGGGACATTTTCGATTCATAGCGGGATTGCAATACATATTCGGAGAGCTAGAGAATTGGCAAGACAATTGTTCCCGGCGGAAATCGAAGATGGAGACGTGAGAAGGAGAAGAAAAAGAAACTGTTTTGCATATAGGACAATAAAAGGAACGAACTGACATCTGGGATATTTTCTATTAATTCTGAAATAATACATATTCCAAAAGCGAAAGACAACCGTTTCCAACGGAAGTCGAAGATGGAAATGCAGAAGAAATAAAAAGAACAGTAGAATATTCTTAATAAAAACACAATAGCGATACATATTTGAAAATCCAAGGAAAAAGATTTTGGCCAAACCCAATAATATAATTCTTCCATTATTTTCTCCTAGAAAATAAACAAAAGTTTTAATTTTAATCTTATATTAATATTTTAACACTTTACCTCCAAAAAGTTACAGTAATTTTAGATAATTTCATACTTTTGTGTTTGCCCAAAAATTCTCTTCCAGGGATATATAAAACAATCGTTCTTAACGAAAGTCGAAGATCGATACGGAAGAAAAGAGTGCAGAAGGAACTGTTTTACCTGGACATAGATGTCTTTCATAACAAAGACGTTCTTAATGAAAAGAACGAAGTACCGTATAAGACATCTTCTCATATCCGGAATGCTAGAAAATTCGTAAAACAGTCATCCTCTGCTGAGGAGGAAGATCGAGACGCGAGAATAAGCTGAAGAAATACTCGCGTTCACGTGTATCAGATGTTTCCGTAGAGACCCCTGCCAGAGATAAAATAGCGAACAGAAGACGGATATCACTCACGAAATGAATCAGACGGCTCAAAAATTATTCCGACAATTTCCTTCGTGGCATTAGCAGCTCCTTTCGTTAGTCCGAGACGCCACGAAATACCCTCTCGACGACTTATTGCGTAGAAATCACGTAGTTCGAAACTTGCAAATGAAATTTCGCGAACGGAACAGCGTGAAAGGAAAACAATGAGAGGAACGAAAACAGACGGGAGTGATAAGGTACGCAAACACGATGAAGTTTGACAAATAAATTAGGAACATGGAAGCAGCGATATCTGTACATTGTACAGGAAGTAAGTTCCAAGGTCAGAAATGAGTCTCAAGAATTTAATTAGAAAACTATTCGTCGACGATCGTCGTAGCATTTCATACTCGGTATCGTGCAAGAGTCTTTCCTATTCATGTGTAAGCACGAGAATACTTGACATTATTTTAAATTCTAATGAATCTGCAAAAGTAAATATTTGTTTCGACGATAAATAAAATTGGACATTTATTTGCAATTATATTAATCTGTAACATAAATAAATGCCGATTCAGTATAAACTCACAAATTTTTCAAAGGGAAACTTTTCAAAAGAAAATTTTCTCTGTAATTTTTTATCTCGCCTAGTCAAACATCACTGCGAATAAAAATACTCGAAGGTTCATTTCCTTGTGGTTTTATAAAAGTCTGTCCTATTAAAAAATCATAATACTAAAACTAACATGACCGACCAAATGATCATTAAAAAAAAAATGGAATAAGAGGAAAAAATCGTACAATTAATTATACGTGATAAAAGCGACAACACTGAATACAGAATTTAAAATTAAAAGTTTAAAAATGATAATTTCAACCGTGGTAGGATTAATGTTAAGTCTAAACCTCGTGCAGTATCGTCCGCCTGACCAAACAACGACACGTTCTACTGCACCGCTGCACAACTTCAACAATCTCGCCCAATTATCACGTAGAATTAATTCGTCCAAAATCCTGAAAGCTTAAAATCTCGAAACTCTCTAAAGAAAGATGAAAACTATCCTGCTACTTGGATAAATGATAATTATTAGAAAAGCTAGAAAGAAAATCTTCCTTGATGAGAATCGACTCTCGCGGTTGGTTTACGACGGTCCTTTTGACGCGCACGTGCGCGCTTGTGAGAGCTTTTCTCGATCCACGGTTACAATTACACGAATCCGAAAATCTCGTTGGGAATCGAGAGCACGAGCGGGGATTAACGAGTAAACGACTTTCACGCGCGTTCGTTGGCTCTGAAAGCTCGCGTGGCGGGCAGCAACCGGTTCGAGGAAGTCGTACGACGTCACAACTATAGATACTCTATTTTCGCTTATCTCGCCTCTCTGCTGCCTCCTCTCTAAGCTCTCCGCCTCTCTCCCTCCCTCCCTCGAACCTCTCTTCCTCTGGCTACCGCGAAAAACGTGTATTTCTGGCACGGCTTCTTCTCTCGAGCGCACAGGCCAGAGCTCCGAAGACGAATTCGAAGCAGAAGCCCGGCTCGAACCACGAGGCCCGATAAAGCTGATAGCAATCGCTCGATGATGATCCCAGGAGAGCTCGAGGGGAAAACGATCCTCCGTGTGAAAGAGACAATAGGCAACCACGTGAAAAATTGTCCATGGGACAGAATCACAGCATCTTTTGTCTGTCGAAGAACCGGTCGAGGATCTACGCTGCTCGGCAAATACTGGCTCAGTCCTTCTTCACTCGTAACCGAGACTGAATCATCTCGCGAGATTCTTGAATAGGTGTGTGATATCTTCTCCATAAATTTATTTTTTTGGGGAGGAAAATTGGAATTGGGTTAGATTATTGTTTCTTGCTTCCTTTCTGACAACGAGAGAAAGGATTTATGAATGACTGGGGAGATGCTGAAGTTTCGGACTTTGGTCAGTGTCTTTCTATACTTGTAATTTTCTAAGTAGAGATCATTTTCCATTTCTTTTCCCCAAGAAAAACGACTTGCGAATGAACATGGAGAAAAGTTTTGGACTTTGGCTGGTGGGAGGACCAATTGCAAATGAGCGCGACGATAGATTACCGAGATTAGGAAATACAGGAGAGAAGGGTTCTTCTTTGGGAACTAATTGAGAAATTAAGCTGAAGGAAAGTAGTTAAAATATTTGTAGAAGCTTCAGTCTTAATTCTCGTAAAGTCTGTCGGAGTTCTACTGATCTTTTGTTCGGTGAAGGAGGAATTAAAGTTGGATGAAGAATACGTGTTTGTGCAACGTTCTCTGGCAAGTTTTTAGAATTATACAACTACTCGGAGTTTTAATTCCGCGTCTTTCTAAGTACAACTTTATAATTAACCTCAGCAGTAACATCGAACCCACTTTTTACCAAAGCACAGTATTTTTAATATAAAAACTATGCGCGACCCGATGAAATTTTAAATCTATCCATTCGTGAAAATCGCGAGGAAAAATTGAAAAACTTACCCTTGCTGGTGACACTGAAGTTTCTGAGTCTATAGCTGTCCTCATCCTCGCCGTCTTCTCTCGCTGGCATCTGAGACGAGGTGTCGGGAACGTCCAGAAATGCATTGCTCTTTCTGTGATGACTGTGGTGCATACTTTGTCCTCTTCGACTTCCCCTTCTTCTGAGTCCAGGGCTGATATCATTGTCGGTCAACCTGGGCTCGCTGCTGCAATGAGCGGATTTCACTGTGCCTTCGTGGTGATGATGGTGGTGATGTGCAGCTGCAACAAATTAAAACCAACAATGTACGATTAGTAACTCATCCTCGACTTCGATTCCGCATCGAAAATTCACCGGAATGAAAAGAACCAAAATTAATATCCCATTTCACTTGGCATCAAAGAGAATTAACTTCGTAATCCATGCTGTAATCGAATTTCAGATAGAACGAATTAACTTCGTTCGAAAGCGATGCACAAAAGGTAATCTTTTAATAAAACACCGTTATTAAAAATACCCGAAGCCGAAATTTTATTTTTAATCCTATTAAAAATAAAAATCGAAGAGATTTTAAAGGTGTCGTGTTACATGCCTAATATTCTCCAACGTATCCAGCCTTCCCCTTCAATCTGATTTTTCGTCTTTTTTCCCGCCAAAGCCCGAACCGAACAAGCTTTACACACGATGGCTTCCTACTATCTCTAGCGTGGGCCCTTTGAAAATTTTCCACTCTTTACCTTCGGCGTTGACCGCCTTTTAAAGCCCCTAAAGAACTCTCGAAGGAAAGTACCGCGGGCAACGCGTGAAAACGAAATGGAAATGCCGGTCGATGAAACGATTCGAAACGCGGTGCTGGACGGAACTTTCGTGCCATCATAAATCAAACTGTCCTTGTTTCGTTTCTTTCTCTTCCGCCACGCACCTTTTCCTTCCTTTTTTCCCCTCTCTTTCCTTTCTTTCTTTGTTTATTTTCCGTTTTTTCTTCTCTCTTTCTCTTTTTTTACGACGGTACCTGAATGAGTCGGAACGCGCTGATCGATGGAGATCCATACATCAAGGCTTCGATGCAATATCGCCGGTGACGCGAGATTGGAAAATCCGCGTGACGATCGTAAAAAAGCTGTTATTGATCTTCCCTCTCGTTCATGCACATTTCGGACGCAGCAATTTTTCATCAGCCGTAATTAATAAAATTGCGCTTCGTTTTCCGTCTTGCAGAGGAAACTGACGCAGCATGTCGCTCGTTATATGAAAGCTTGATACAGAACGTGCGTCATGGCGCTTCGAAAACAGGTAGAAACACGATGATTCTGTTTTCACGTACGTACGTGTTTGTTTACGGAAATTACGAGAGATTTATTAATTTTTTAGCGAGAAATACTCTTTTGAGGAGTAGACAATGATTTGTTTTATTGGTAAAAGAGTCGGGATCTCGTACCATTTTTCAAAGCAAACCACGTTCTTTTAGTTAGTTTGATTTAAAAGGGTAGTAAATTTCACGAGACTGAAACATAATCTCCGTCTCTTTCTGAAAGAAATTTTTCGATTCGTTTGGATTATCTTGTCCGGCTGATCGGGGCAGACGAATATCGGGACAGGCGGGGTCTCCGATTTTAAACGACTCGAAAACGAAATCGATCCCGAACCGACGGGTGAAAAATATTTCAACCCTAAAGGTCCCACGATCCTCTTTTCGCGCGAAGAGACTCGCTGCTTCATTTCACGCTCGAAGCGTTTCATTGAAAATCCCGTGTAGAATAAGCTCGAAAATGAATCTACACCTCTCCGCCCTGCCGTTGCTCGTGAGTAATAAATACTACAAAGTCAGAAAAACCTGGAGAGATCCCTTTAACATTCGATCTCTTTTTATCTCTCGGTTACCTTCATCTACCCTGGAATTGCCAATTATCCGTCTAGAAACACACGGGCAAATTAGAGTCCTACGTTTTGGAAAAAATATATGGTACAGGGAAAAATTGCGTGTACCAAAAAATTTATACAAATGCGTCGAGTTTCAAAAAATTTGTATTCCTGCGAAAAACAATTTCATGAAAATCCATATGTTCGCCAAAATTCGAAACTGCTTTATTGCCGACACAAAAAGTTTTTCCATTTTTCCAGGAAATCGACGAAAATTTCGAAGCAGTGAGTAGCGAGTAATTCAAGTAATATCCGTTTGAACGTTAATTACGGCGATTTTTGCCGCGTATGGTAAAGCAAACGCTATTTAAATGCTGGAAAATCAGTTTCCTCGACATGGTAAACTATATGGAAGTTTAGATTGCGTCGCAAAAGCAGTGCGTTCTAGACGCGATTACATATTGCACGGACGACACGCTTCGCGCGTTGAAATCACGCTTCAGCTTCTATTCTGGCAGCGTTCGTTTGGGTAGTAGGTCACTGACAGACGAAACGGGCGTCCACGATGCCAGTGCACCTTAGTCGAGGAATCGTCAGATCTATTTAACACAAAAATACAATCCCGCGAAGGGTTTCGTGGGCTGAAAGCTTATTTAAAGACGCGCGTCGTCTCGTTTACTTTGGCCAGCGCCGGTTAAGTGGCCAAAACCGGTGGAAGATGTCTCATTGGTGACTAAAAACCTTAAAGGGTATTCGAAAATCATCACGAATGGAATTTTAGTTCCATAGAAACAGGTAACTGAAATTTTGTGACCATTTATCGGCATCGTAAATAACGAATAATTAAGTAAAGTGAAGGAAATTGTTTCTCCCGTGTACTTTGATATAAGTATAATAAAAGTAGCTCAATTTTGGGATGATATTATAGGTTTTGAGGTTGAAGAGGAGAAACTTTAGAGGATTCGAAAAATGGCACGCTTAAAAATTTTCGGACTATGAGAATGGACAATATTTTTTTTTTTTATTCCACCCCTCGGAGTGTTAATTTTTTGAATTTTCTGACGAAATCGAGATACACGTAGTGGATAAAATAAATTTTTACGGTAACTATAAAATTGAAACGTTTGAAAACATTTATTGTTTAATAAATTGGTTTAATCTGAACCAATTTTTTTAACCTTAACTCTTTGGGGGTGCATTTCGCAGTACACGTGGTGTTCTATTATTTGTTAGATCGAATACTGTGTATTTCGTAACAAAAAATAATTTCAATACTTTGATCACGGTTATCGAAATTTTTTTATTTGAAAAATTTCTTTCGATTTATTTACTTTTAACAGTACATTGTATATTCTGTGTATCATTATCTTCACTTCTCGTTTGCGAAGGGTGTTTGAGTTAATTCCACTATAGAAACGTTGTTCGAATATTTATAACAAAATACGATTGTTCAGATCCTGACTAGTTACATTCTAATAGCAACATAACAATAATATACATATAACAATCGAATAAATGTAGCACACGATGACAAAATAGCTTATCGACCGCGTAATCGTTTAATTTAACCAGGTATCTATAGATCATTTTTAAACGTCATTTAAAGTCAACAATAATACCCGCGATCGTTTCGTACATGGCGCCAGAAATCGTCAGAACAAAATTAAAATTTGACAGAATGAAAATTTAAAAATTGTTTACTCGCTTTTCACTCGACCAGATAAATTCGATATGAGAACACCGTGGCTTCCGAAGATCTATTCTAAATAAATCTTGTTACTCTTTATTCATATCAAATCGATGTCAAACACCGATTTATTGCAGGAAAAATGACGATGGAACGCGAGTTATTAATTACTCAATTATTTGTGATATATTTGAAAATAACATTCGCATCACACCGACAGCGAACATATTTTTGCAATAATGGGGCGCAACAGCACCCGTCGCGATCGATCAATATCGATTGTTCGAATTTCATCAGTTATGTTCCATTTCGATTCTACTACGATGTTTACTGACACGATGATCGATGTTGCGATCGTGATGTCCACGGAGAATCAGTGAACGCGTTTTCGCGGTAACGGTGTTTATTAAAAGCAAATTGGCAACCGAGTCCAGAGAAAATTTCAGCCTGCGTTCAACACCGGGTTACTAAACTTAATCAAAACGATCAATCCCAGATGTTTGCGATCATCGAAAGCATACAGCTGCTTTTGGCGAAATTAATATTCACTTTCACTGAGACTGGAACTTAATTATACATAATATATAAGTACACGTTTATCCTCATCCTACAACTCCAATTAACCTTCAACGTACCGATACATGTGGGATATTTCTGTCACAATTTCGAAAATAAATTTCTATACACCTTCTCTCCTGCAATTCACGTGTATATTTAAAACCAAATGTGACAAAATAAATATCAGGATATTTATTCTATTCTCGACTAATTTCGAAAATTAAATATATTCGAAAAATACACGATTTAGGATCTCAATTCAGTACCATCAGCCGTCCTTGAAGGGTTAAATACTCCAATTATAAATACCTAGCTATCTAATGTCAGATTTCGACCCCGACATTATAAAGGTTAGTATCATCAATAATAATCTCAACATACCATATTTAAATACGTATCAATAGCCTATATCGATACGTCTCTTAACTCCATTTTAAAATAATGCCAAAAATTCGACGAGTTTAATAACCGACGATATTTGCCATGAATTTCCTGCTAAGGAGATTAAACGATCGCTCGGGGCGGAAAAATAAGGCGGAACTGCGTAAGATTAAGAATCCTTCTGTGATATCTTGATCCCTCCTCTGCCAAGATGGCGGCTGGTAATATCCGGCGGATGTGAAAAACGATCGGCGACGTAACGCGAATTACGCGTTGGCATTTTAAGCTGTCATCCACGAAAGTTAGGGGTCATCCGGTGTCTACGGACCTTCCTCTGCACGTTGTTCCGTGACGTGAATCCGAAGAACGGTGACGTCACAGAGACGTCACTTCGAAGGGTTAATTTAAAAGTGGACAGTTACATGGGGTTCGGAGGCATCGAGCCGTGGAGAACATTGTTATCTGCGTGCTCTTTTACCACCCATGGGTGATATCACGCGATCGATTCGGGAACGCGAAAATTTTCACGCGCCCGGAAGTTTTTTTAATTAATCCCTAGCGATGGTGACGTAAAGATAACGATATATGGAATATATAATACGCGATAAAATAACGAGCGATTGGAAATAAATCGATGGCAGCCGACCATGCGAAAATTCTAATTTCCAGAATTTTTTTTATGCTAATTAACCTTTCGCGCAGAGAATATAAATGTAACGATACAAGTAGAATATATAATATGTGGAATAATAGAACAGCAGGTTATTAGGGATGAATCGATGGGAACCGACCATGCGGAAATTCTAATTTCCAGAATTTTTTATGGTAATTAACCCCACGTGGGAAAAAAATAAAAAGGACGATACGCGGAAAAATGAAATTGCGAATTATCGGAAATATGGAATTAAGGGGAATTCTCGAAGTGAAAATGCTCATCATTTTTCACGACGATAATGGAGATACGCAATAAAATTGTTTTTGCCGCAATAGTCGACCGATTTGACCTACCAGGTAGAATTATCGCGATGCGTATGTCGCTGTATTCATCCACAAAGGTTAATTGTCGAATGATGCTGGGTCTATCCGATGATGGTGTCATTCGTTCTCAACGTCAATTAAGTAATCAATGTGCCGGTGTATTTGTGTACGGGAATGTATAATGACGCATTATCGTTTAATCTTGTTAACTCGGTACAACGGGAACAGTATAATTCCACCGTGAAAAATAAGCGAAAATAGAGTCCAGAGGTTTAAAAGACTCTGGAGGATTGCATTAACCACTTCAAACAGGTTCAGATGCGTCATTGAATAAATCTTTTTATACCAGAAGATGACCAAGCGTAGGTAACGAGGAAGTACCAACTTTTGGCAGTAGTCAAAGCGAAAGTAAGCGGAAAACACAGTGATTCGTCATGTTATCCGAGAATAAAACGAGTAAGCGGATAATATGTCGTTGAACGAGTTAAAGGAACGAATTAATTCGGAAATCCTACGGGGAACCGAAGGATCGCGAGCGATGCGCTGATTAAAATTAAACTAGTTGTTAAGCACATTAATACAGCGCGTTTCACAATCGCAAACGGAACCGGCTATAGCAAATAGTCCACAGATCGACCAACAAAGTTGCAGAGAATATTCTAGCCCCACTCGACGAATCGTTACTTAACGTTTATCTAATTGCAACCGCTGTTCAACGTGAAATACCGTGCACCGGTTAATACTTGGATCGAAAAAAGGTGAAATATTTGAACTCGAATGATATGAAAAGAATTTAAATGGATACGAATAAAAACAAGTAAGTATCGTAAGTAGGGAAAAATAAATGTACGCATTTACAGATTTCCCGCTCCAATTAATATTCGAAGTAGATGCAAATGAAATATTCCAACGCAAATCGTAAAACAAGAAATTTCGTCCCTCTTATAAACAAATACGAATAAAAACAATTATGTAGGCCAACCGAGAAAAGATTGATTCGCAAATTTATAAACAAATATAACTAAAAAGAAAAAATAAATAAATGTATAAATTTATAAATTTTTCTCTTCGACAAACCCGACATTTTACTTCTTCTCAAGCACCCTGTTGTGTCACCCTTTCCACACCTTGAAAAATTATATGCCAGGTCATAAGGAAAGAAAAATAAAGAACGTCCGAAGGACGATCTTCATCATCGTGGAAGAAGAACGAGCAACGTTATCATCTGATTACCTTGTGCGGCCGCGCGACGGCGAATGCTCTTATTCGCACTGGAAACCCGAGCACTCTGAGACCTCGTCGCCGGTCTACGCCTTCTGGTCGGTGTGCTGCTATCAGGAGTTCCGCTTCCACTGTCCTTGTCGATCTTGTCCCTGTCCCTCGCACCCGAGGGAGGCATCGCTTCTAACATTTGTTCCATGCTGGAGAAGCCAGGGGCGCAGATAGAGGCGCTCCTGGTCTTCCGGCGTAGCGAGTTCTCCGACATCTTGGCCTCTCGTTCACCGACCTTATCGCTGCACTATCCCTCCAACCACTTCCGCCCTTTCAAAAACGTCCCTTCAGGAAACGATCACGGTAAACTCTCTCGGATCTACTCTATCCTTTATCCAGTGCACTCACGTCGTATCGATTGTACCGTATAGACAGTCTAATTCCTTTTAATTCCGTCTCCAACGAGGAATCCTCTGTCAAGTCTTCTGGTCAGCTCTTTTGAGAAGTATTCCGAATTAGTCGAGTTTCGTCCAGTTCTCTGACTTCTTTGCAGTCCCAGAAGTTCTTCCGAGTCCTCTGTGTTCTATGAAATTCGTCGAGTTCCGTGGAATTTCCTGAATTCTTTGGAGTCCTCTGAATTCGTTGGAGTTCACCGAGTTCTCTGGAGTCTCCCGAATTCTAGAAACTTTCCGAATCTCGTGCAGTTCTCCGATTTCTTCCTACTCTTTTTCCTCGAACACGTTGCACTTACTCCCGACCGCTTTTGCTCTTCGAAACGGAAGTCGAAGATTGTCAAGAACGCGGTCGGGGTTGGACGAACTCACGAGGTCCCGGAAGAGAGCTTCTTTGTGCAAGCTAACGATAGAGTTCCAACGACGAGAGTTCAATTATGGAATAGGGACCCCGTTGATGGACGATCTCCGAGCGATTTCACGCGCAACGCGAGACCCGAAGCCTGACGCGAGTTCGCGGCACAGATTCAATCTTCAGTTAAAAGTTTCAGCGGGTTGAGGTAGAGTCTTGAATGTCGCGCAGCAAGTCCATCGGAACACTCTGGCTGGCCCTCCGGCGTTCGGAAACTCGGACAAAACTTGAATTCTGAAGCAACATGTGGTATCGCGGTCGTTAATCGCGGTGTTTCCGCTTGGATTCCCTGTGGTTTCGTCAACAGAGATCTCGACACGAATGCTACACGGGTCTTGGAGAGACTTTGAGTAGCCATTGTCTAGCGATATTTGCAAAATTGTGAATTCGAAAATGGAATTCTGAAATTTCTATTCTCTGACTTTTAGAGTGGACTTCTTACTTCCATTTTCTATATCCTTTTTTCTTGTAAGGGGATTGTAATTTGTGTTTTGAGTAATTTTTTAAAAGTCCGTTTCCTTATTCTCTTTCGTTTTCATACAGATTTATAAGAACTGTGCAATTCGTGCTTTGTAAAACTGAAAATTTTCGTTCCTGATTCTTTGGTTAAATTTAATCATTTTTATTTGACTTAAGAACATTTTTAGAGGTAACTTCTAATCAAAATATATTTCCTTTCGGTTCCTAGGGGAAATTATACGTGCGAGAGGAATTCGAGGAATTTATTACGTCGATACTTGCGTTTTATGAATGAAATACACGGAGAAAATTCTATGATCCTGTCAAGAGAACACGAGAGTTTTTCATTGTTGCGGGTGTCACAATTTTTCAGGTATCTTCAATGGCTTTTGTGAAAATTGCTCGACGATATTCGTACAGTAATTGTAACTTTAGAAATATACCGTTTCACTATAAACCAATTAAAACGAGTTTATCTATTTCAATTTCTCCGACCTTTCTTCGCGATACTTTAGAAATATAACTACTCTTATAATTTTACTTTCGTAATTTCCTTTCATTCTTTCATAGGAAATATGATTAAAAAATCTCAAAGCGATGCCAAGTTATATATTTTGTATCGCAGTAACCGCCATGGTAAAGGAACTATGCATTACCATCGAACGATAATTAAACATTTCCTAAAATTACTCGTGCAAAATACCGCAATGTAAATTTCGTTCAAATTTACTTCCCAGTCAAAGTGGCACGAGAGTTTCCGATTCACCGGTTCCCGACAATTAACATTACAATTACCCTTTCCAGGTACGAAGCTTCGAAGTTACTTTGCCATTAGAAATTTTGTTCGACCAGGTACACCGGCGTGACAGTTAATTTATTTACGTAAGAATGACTCATCGAGATCGTTCTACCTCGTTCCACGATTAAATTCGATACACCACCGACCTCCACCGTCACTCCCTACAAATTTTTCTCTCCAAACAGATCGCGATATCGAGTCGTTCTCGACGCGGAATTTTCCTAAAATTTTCCCAACATATTTCGCTAAGATTCTCTCGAGACGTGGATACCAAGCGGATAAGCAAACCGTCGAACTGCTCGAAGCTGCAGAAAATCCGGCATAAATAGATAAGTAAGATATAGACACGGCGAGATAGCCCATAAAGAAACTCATCTCTGTCGAGTTTCTCTAGGAAATACAAAGACTCGTGTCGCTCGATTGCGCTCTTCGGTATTCGAAATATTCGAAAGTAAGAAATTCGCGATGCGAGAAAAAATTTAAAAAATAGAAAAGACCGTGTATTTACATAAAAATGTCTCGACGAGGAAATGAACGAGAAAGAGGGGGAAACGTGAACCTGTATTCAGATAGAGGAGACTTGAATAAAAATTGTGGAAGAGAGATATCAAGTTGTAAAAACTC